AAACACTACTTACAATGACATGAACTGACTTTCAACAACAACAACAACATAAGCTTTATTTGCGTGACTATAATTATGAGGTTACAGTATTGCAAAAGCTTTAACATAAAGTTACAATTTATAACAATGATAATGCAATGCAATGATTACTACAGTCAATCAAGTGTCATCAGCATGATTTGATAACAAATAAGTACGTTAATCATTACATAATGAGACAAATTTCAACAAATGTCAATTTACGGAAAATTCTGTGAATTCATCAATTTAATTATTAATTCTGTGTAAGATAGCTGATTAAAGTCGACAAAATTTTGTTGGATTTGAGTGTAGAATTTCTTCCTTGGGATTGAATATTTTGGACAATGGAAGAGAAATTGAAATTCGTCTTCAATTATACCAGAGTTACAAATAGGGCATTATCTATCGTTGCGGGAAGTTTGATTATATCTTTCAGTTTCAATCATGAGTTTGTGGTTACTTATATACTAATTTTCACTAAGTCTTTCCTATTGGCTGAATTTGACTTTCTGTTACGGGTATGCAAAAGGGCTACCGTTTCTGTCAAAAATGGTATATACAGAGGGTAAGGGTTGGATCCCAGGGCCAAGTCTCCGGTAGGAAACGTTCCTAGGTACCCCTCCCTTCACCGGGTGATGTGAAGGTTTGATGCATCTTCGTCCGTTATAACAATGATGAAAACTGAACCGAACTCTTCACCAGTGATGCTGTCAATTACTCAACTAAACCAGATAACGTACGTTACAAATAAATTCTCTTTGTCTCTCCTCTTTGCATTCCGCAAGGATCAAAGGTGAAGCTACGAGACGCTCTTACCTTCACAATTCTTTCCTCGAAAATCTTTTGGGCAAATACAGAAGTAATCATGTTGAAGCTGTACGAAAATGCCTCCATTCTGACAAGGAATTCCAGTTTTTTTCACTGGAATTTGGTTTCTGAATTCCAATCTTTAGTAGGATTCCGGGTTCCACAAAAAAAAATTTAGTATATGGGTCAGCCCTTTTCGTATAATTAGAAAGCTAGTTAATGCGATATAAATTTACATTGTTGTTGAAGTTTCAATATGTCTATACCGTTTTAAAAGAATGAGAATTTGGAATGATAACATGAAATGAATTATAATCACTTAGAGGATTATCATTCTACTCGTTTCTCAATATACTGTTAGTAGTTATAACTTAACATGATGGTGCTGCGTTGCTAAGGAGCTTAAGCAACGACGACAACGACGACAACGACGACAACGAGAACGGCAAAAAAGTTACAGGTTTAGACAAGCAAAACAACAACTTTGCACCTGCAATTAACGCTTTTTTTGTATTTAATGTTTCTATGCTGTCACTGCTGGACTGCGAGGAAAAGTTCCTAATTCCACGTTTTATGGAGGACGTGAACACAAGAAAACGATTTTCTTTTTCTTTTTGTGAACTTACGGACAATCCTTTAGAATTCAACTCCCGAAAAATCGTCAACATTTGACAAATTAAAAGTGTTGAAATAAGAGCGACAAAGTTTAAAACAACGCGAATTCACTTTTTGGATGTCGTTTTCACTCCCGTTGCCGTCGTCGTTGCTTCAGCTCCCTAATCTCACCTGTGCATAACGTTCCTTTGAAAGAAGGTGGGCAGATACAAACATACTGTTCGTCACTTAACTGCTGACAGGTTGCCCCATTTTTGCAAGGGTTTGGATCACATTTATTAATGGCTGGAAAGGAAAAAAATTGAGATTTACTTCGGTATTAATAGTCTCTTATTTGGTCTACTTGATTAATTTATTATTATCATTATCATTATTGTTGTTTTTGTTCCATCTTCTTGAGACACATAGTACGCCTTAGACCTGAAAACAATTATTACAAACTCCTTGGAAAACGTCACATGACATGATTATATTGGAAAAAATTTCAAGCCAAATCGAATTGTATTTAGTCATATTTGCAGGGGACCTCGAATTCGGTTGGTAAGCGGTAAAATATTATCACACAAAAGTTAAAGACCCCAGTTTGGTGACCTTTTGCAGTTTGGCACTTACAGTCACACTGTTGACCTTTGAAGCCTTCTTCACAGATGCAGGAGAACTTTTCCTCTGAATCTGACCTTGTGCACATTCCTCCATTCTTACATGGGTTGGGGTGACAAGGATTAGGCTCTGTAAGATATCATAATTAAGCGAAAAACATTACTTATGAAGAAACAAACCATGACAAAGAATTCGTCACAAATCGCTGAGAGCTGTCGAACTTTGTCTCGCATTGCAACTTCTAAAAATGCAACGCACTCTATTCTCAAGAAATACTATTAATATTTTCCTTTCGTTCTTACAAGGATTGGGAGCACAAGCGTCTTATTCGGAGGTTAAAGAAAAGGAGGAAAAAGTCGGGTTACCTTCACAGACAGCTCCTAAAAATCCGCGAGGGCAGATGCATCTAAACGCGCCAGGTATCTCTGTACAAGTTGCTCCGTTCTTGCAAGGATTCGATGCGCAGTAGTTTCGATCTGAATGAAGAAATGTTAAGATTTAAAACTTAGATATGAGCCAGGGGGACACTCCATATACTATGACGGCCTTTAAGGGGGACACTCCGTAAGAAAAATGTACCTTTTTCAGTCTTCACGTATACAAAACGGTAGTATTTTAGTTAATGAAGGGGTAGCAAATTTGTCATGATATAAGTTAAAAAGGGCCTTTGACTAAAATAATTTGAATTTACGCACCTTATGGCTGTATCAATTTAATTTCTTAAACACTACTTACAATGACATGAACTGACTTTCAACAACAACAACATAAGCTTTATTTGCATGACTATAATTATGAGGTTACAGTATTGCAAAAGCTTTAACATAAAGTTACAATTTATAACAATGATAATGCAATGCAATCATTACTACAGTCAATCAAGTGTCATCAGCATGATTTGATAACAAATTAGTACGTTAATCATTACATAATGAGACAAATTTCAACAAATGTGAATTTACGGAAAATTCTGTGAATTCATCAATTTAATGATTAATTCTGGAAGAGAAATTGACATTCGTCTTCAATTATACCAGAGTTACAAATAGGGCATTATCTATCGTTGCGGGAAGTTTGATTATATCTTCCAGTTTCAATCATGAGTTTGTGGTTACTTATATACTAATTTTCACTAAGTCTTTCCTATTGGCTGAATTTGACTTTCTGTTACGGGTATGCAAAAGAGCTACCTTTTCTGTCAAAAATGGTATATACAGAGGGTAAGGGTTGGATCCCAGGGCCAAGTCTCCGGTAGGACACGTTCCTAGGTACCCCTCCCTTCACCGGGTGATGTGAAGGTTTGATGCATCTTCGTCCGTTATAACAATGATGAAGACTGAACCGAACTCTTCACCAGTGATGCTGTTAATTACTCAACTAAACCAGATAACGTACGTTACAAATAAATTCTCTTTGTCTCTCATCTTTCCATTCCGCAAGGATCAAAGGTGAAGCTACGAGACGCTCTTACCTTCACAATTCTTTCCTCGAAAATCTTTTGGGCAAATACAGAAGTAATCATGTTGAAGCTGTACGAAAATGCCTCCATTCTGACAAGGATTTAAGTGATCTGCGATGGAATATAAAATTATTCAGTATCAACACGGCACAACATTACTGACATTAGCGTTGCTATCTCCATTTCTTTGGAAAGTTCACTGTGATGAATAACATCGGTACCATTCTCCTCATTGTCAAAATATACATAATCATTGTTATCATCATCATTATCATCATCATTATTGTAGTCTTCGTCATCATCATCATCATCATCAACATTATCCTCATCATCATTATGTTTACGCACGCAACCATCATTTCCATGAACACGATCATCCTCATCATAACATCTTCCACCCCCAAGTTCTTAGTTTCAACAAATTTAAGAAGCAAGTCGAATAAAAGTTTACCACCCAGTGGTATATCGTTGAAAGTTCGTCTCAAACAGATGGTCAGAAAAGCAAGTAATATTCCTTCTACTAGAAAGGACACATGGATATCTTTTAATCACAATTTACATGCACGACAAAGCAGTTGAATTTAATGTGACTAATATTTCAATAACTGTTCGAAAGCCTCAAAGAGTTAAAATGATTTATTATAAAAATGATCTATTATAAAAACTCCAAAATGCTTTGGATTTGTAAATTTTGAAACCTCTTAGTTTTCGAAAGGCTCAATTTCTTTGTAATTTAAAATATTAGTCATCTGAAAATAAATCGTATGAAAATTCAACCAATATTTAGCATTGCCGTGACTGTGCCGTAAAATTACATTTCAACACTAAAACAGTCCGTGTCTTAGTCCATGAGCTTAAAATTTGCAATCAAATTTTGCTTTTACATATCCACTTTACCATTTAAATACAATAAAGTTATGTTTGCACACAATACATGAACAGGCCAATGCTTATGTTCTTACTAGATGAACTGACCCAAGGCGTCTTGTAGTGAATCAGTGCATGGTGATTTTCGCACTATTTTCAAATGAACGATTTCACTATCACCTGCATGGGCTACCCACCGCCGTAATGCTTTGCATCAAGTAGCTAGCATGTCGCAACTCAAACTTACATTTTGGGCGCAAATGAAGGTGTGAAACGTGAACCTGCGATGGTACGGGATATGGTATAGGAAGCGGTTTGGGCACATAGCGTACGGAGACCACTGGGAAGGGCCGTGGCTGAATATGAACGTGATGTATCGGTCCGTGGAAAGGAAGTGGTTGCTGAGGATATGCGCCAATATGCGGTGGAAGTAGCTGAAATTGTCTCCTTGCTCCACTTATATCTTTGACTTGACTTTGTCCCTTGCCAATAGAGGAGTTATTTGTCGACTGAGTTAAACCTACTTCTCTGGTATGGATTCTTCCTCTTCTTTGGTGTGACGCTGGCTTTTCTGGGTTCAACCTTTGATGCGTTCCTTCAGCAAGTTTGAGTGAATGGGTAAAAATGTTAATTAACTCGTAAATGGCTATTAGCTTTGGTAAAAACATCTTCTAAGCTTTCAAAAAGCCTTTCGTTGCTGAATTTACTCCATTGTTAGCACGACAATGCTCCTTCCTCTAAACTTTTGAAATATTGATGTGATAGCTGGTGGGCTAGGTGTAAATTTTATCGTGTTTTGAGTGAAAAATAGGTTTAAAAGTCAATATTTTTTGGCATCCACAAACGCCTTCAAATCTGCCCTTTGAAAATTTGCAAATGTGTAAAGATATATTTAAATATACAACATCTCATGAGGAAAGCCGATAAAACTATGAAGGTCATAATATCAAGAGTGACTTGAATGGCTTAACTACCATCAACGCAGTACCTGATGCGTACCAGAAATCAAGAACATTTCCGGGTATATGTCTCGATCACCTCTTTAACGGGAGGGATTTGAGTGCCAAGTTGAAATAAAAGAGCTGCTCAACAAGCCGGGTGGTCGGCAAAAGTGCAAAGGTTTGCTAAAAAGAGTTCTTTTCAAGAAGTAAGTTCCCCTCCGAGTCTCAAGGCTCACACAGGATTTCCATGGGTAAACGGCAAACATTTTATAAAAATCCTACACTTTATTGCTCAACTGACACATAAGCGAATACATGACATATTTTGAGTCTTAAAATAACCAAAGCAAGGTTTCGAATTGTTCTAGGCGTCTGCCAATCGCTAATCAAATGGTTGGTAACTATCTGTTTTAATCAGAGAAGTCCCCAAACTTATCACAGTCATATACCGGAATATATGGTCGTTGAAAGTAAATACATTCTAGTAAAATGTTTTTTTTTTTTTCTTATCAAGGTAATTGCTATAATCATGTCCCCTTGTGATACCAATCCTTAATGCCCTAACAGCCAATTCTATTCATTAAAGCTGTTGATCTCATTTTCTTGTATCACATTGCATCTCTTGACGTCTGTATCTTATTTCAAAAGCCTGTCAACTGTAAGTTTTGTCGTTACACAAACCCAAATCTGTAAGCTTCCTAAATCTAAACCATGAAAAATATTTTGAAGAATACTCTGAAAGAAAGTTAGAAGAAGAAGAAGAAGAGAAAAAAGAACTAGCAAGTAATAACTTCCCAGTATTCTTGCATACTGAATGATTAACAGTTATATCAGAGTCCATTCTTCCCTCATTGGGCTTGTATTATATCACCGAAATATTCAAATATTTTAAAACTGAAACTTCTAAAAATTCTTTTTAACTGCAAAGTAGCAGATACTCCTGGTCATTAAGTGGAATTTCCCCTGATTATCGAAAAATTTAGGTGAGCTCGATCCTCTCAAAATTAACAGGCTGTCTTTCACGGACAAGTGTTTCGTACCTGCCGAAGTTTTCGTGAGAAGATCGAGATCAAGTGGGTCCTATAACATACGAACAATAGAACCGAGTTAAATTTTCACGTAAATTTGTCATTGTCGCATAATTCAGACTATTCTGAACACCAGTCATGATAATTGTCTAACTCATATTTTTTCCTTAATAGCCTCCTGGACTTGAGCAGAAAAACGAAAAACAACAACAACAAAAAAAAGAATCTGAAACTAATATTTTTATAAAAACAGTTCTCATGAACGCCAATTTATGGTCATTGGTTCATAATAAGGATTTTTAAGAAATGAATTCACTACAATGTTACCTGTAACGATAATTGACTGATCACCGACATTTTTATCTTGGTGAGGTTGTTTGAAGCCCATGCAGTGAACTGTTTTATTAATAAGTAACATCAGTTCGTTTGTTTTGTCTTGGTTATGTTGGTAACTGGAAAGTGAAAGTCATATAATGGAGTTCCAAAGCCTCTAAGAACCTTCGTGATATCATTCATTTTTACCAGAACGTCTGGTTGATACTTTGAAGGAATTTACGATCAGCGGTTTGCGATTTCCCTTGATTAAATGCATTAGATTGGAAATTTTTTAGTTTACTCTTTAAAGAGAGAATAATGGTTCCCAAGGTCGTCTAAAAATACCCGCACACATCACAGGTTATCTTATTGAAAAACTGTACGCAACCTGTACTACTGTGATGGCTTTCATTTTTTCCCTTGAGTGAAAGCATCAAGATAAACCCACCCAACTAGCAAAAGCCTACTACCTTCTACTCTGTCCTTTTCGTTTTAGAAACACTCAAAATGTATGGATGTCATTATATATAAAACAAACAAACTAACAAGCAACATAACCAAAATAAACCGGCTTAGTTGCAGGAAATATAAATAGACTGATGAAAATTTCCCACAGATAATAGCGCAAATAACTTAAATTAACCCATTTTTAAATTGACTACGAACAAGATAACTTGCAAATTTTATTTTTTGAAGTCGCCTCTGCTATACATGTACACTGGCTTTGACAATAGAAGTATTTTATTCATTCTTCTTTTTCTTAGCCACCAGATATTTTATTATTTAGAAACTTAGAAACTGTTGGTTGTTTGACTTGAATTGAATGGGCACCTATTAGCTTAACAGTCACGTGGTTCAAAAGTACCTCGATGGAAACGATGGATTGAGGATTTTGAAAGAACGGAACATTAATTTTTAGCTTATTTAATGCTTTTGCAAATCTTGTACCATTGCGTCTCATGCTCTCCAGCAAGGTGTTTTTGTCCCACGTGACTGTTAAGCTGCAAAAGGTTTATAATACACTTGCAATACAAAGAGAATCGCGGACGGTTAGACATTCAAAACTCCTTATAGATTTAAGAGCTGTTTAAGATCTGTACTGTGGAGTTTTAGAACTGTATATGACGTGAAATATTCACTTAGATGTACATTAAGAAGGAATTCTCTTTAGCACTTGGTTTTTGCAAGTTATATTTAACTTCTAATTGCAAGGCATCCACGAGAAATTTTTATAAGTTTACACAATTTTTCCCTTAGGAACAAAACGTTTCTTCTTAAGGTTCTTCACATGTGATCTGTGTAAACGAAAAAGAAAAACATACAGTTCAAATATTAAGACTAAAGTGAACAGAAGTCTCAAGGGTACTACTATCGTTATGAAGCAAGGTTACATCAAGGCGTCCTAAAGCTTTTACGAGCGGAAAAATACGTTAATCGCGTTAACCTTCACTCGAGGGTGGTGGAACTAAAGCTAAAGGTGATGTTACACAGGACGATTAGCAACGACGATTTTTAGCGCAACACAACGTTGCAATGTTGGATCAATGTTGCAGCTATTCGAAACAATGTCGCAACAATGTTGCCACGCTGTATTGCACTAAAATCTTTGCTACAAATCGTCCCGTGTAACATTGCCTTAAGGGAATGACGCAGTCCTCTAAATTGGCCATTACTTGCTGAAAGTGCCTATCTCTGAAAAAGCATAACTACTCTTCTTACGAGTAGGAAACGTTTTCTGCAAGATTTTTCATCAACCAGTTATAACAAGGGGCTAATGTGATATTTTAGGCTATTTTTAAAATAAAAACTCCAGAAAATTCAAGAGCTTTTTGTTAGCAGTGGAAAAAAAGCCATTTATCTGCGCGCGTGCGATGGTGCGTACTTTCCAATTACTTAGGCCTGACGCATACTGGCACTGTCCTATTAATTAATATTGAAATCAGGCAGTTGATAGCCAATCAAATTTGGGAATTTTTTTATTGTTATTATTAACCCTTTAAGTCACAACATCCACAGGCAAATTCTCCAGACTGGTCTCCATACATTTCCAGAAAGAATTAGTTGAAAGAATTTGATAAAAGGTCAAAGCATTTTCTACTTGGCAGCCTGTACATAGTTCCTTATTTTTTCGTAAGGGGCCTGTACGGGCAGCCATCTTGGTATCATATATACCGAGGTGACGGCCGTTGGAGTTTATAGCGAACCGTCTGCCGACACCTAAGTAGGTTTGAAACTCATCCAAGATGGTCACCCGTAACTCAAAGACTTCGATCACGACTAACAGTTACGGGAAAATAGGGGACAGTGAACATTTTCCTTATTAATGACCATTGTATTAACTCTCACAACCTTTTCTCCCGATTATGGATCAACATAGTTAAGAGAATATTAATGTTAGTCACTCTTGAGACTTAAAGGGTTAAACAAGCAACAACCATCACTACTGCAGCCTGAAAAAAGAACTTACTTCTTAGTCATTCCTGGAAGACACGAGCCTTGAACGCAGATGTTTGGAGGACGGCAGCTAGTACAAGGATTTACAGCTGAAAAAGAAACTGAGCATGATCAACTGAAGTTTCAGGGTTACTGACCACCTACCCCTCCCCTAAGTCACAATTTTGCCCTAAGTTTCACTTAAACTTTCATACTTTTTTATATTTCACTATTTATGAATCAGTTTCTAGTGTCGTTGTAGTTACTATGATCTCGCATGGATATTACACCTCTACAGTTCATTTGCGGATGGATTAATCTTTGTTTAAAATTTGAGACCTCTATCGATGAATTTATGTCTACAATTATAGTCAAAAGTGCTGGGCCACAACTTTTCACCTCTTGTTCCTTCTTCCGCTCCCTGGCCCAATGTTGTCCAAAACTAAAGTGTTTGTGTGTTCTGTTATGTATACCCAACATTGAAGAGGGGGAATGGGGGTATTTAACAAAAGGGAACTCAAAAGCCAAAATTATTAAGTTGGAGGACCTTACGAACTGCTTTTGTCTAGGACTGTATCTTTCGATTCCTCATGGAAGAACTTTTAAACATCATCCTTTTCGACTGTGATTTTGCTTTCCAGACATCCAGACATCTAGCTTCTTATATATCTTGTCCCAGGATACCCTCTACGGCGTCTTATCGACCCACATCCATGCATGAACAGAGTCACTTACGCGCACAGTCGTATCCATTTCCAGTGTACTGTTCCAAACAGACGCAAATTCCATTCTGGCAACTAGCGAAGGGACTACAACCTTCACATTCTGATTCCTCTGCAAAAAAGAAAAAAGAGAAAAATATTCATTGCTTCCATCACTCTTGCTATGTCACTCTCTCTGATCAAGCGATTTTCGTCACTTTTCATATGATGAGGCATAAATTGCTTCTACGAAACCAAATGGTTATATTCTGGACAAAGCAAAAAACTTAACAAAAAGGAGATCTGGGCATTAGGGCTTGTGCCAAGTCGGTCTGAGATGACCAACAAGGCGTATAACATGTAGGGACCATTAACTGTTGGATTCCTGAAACATTATACGCCAACTTCGCCTATAAGATAATCACTTCATTTACATGTGACACTATCGTTTCCTTTCATTGACAAAATTTACTTGCCTTTCTCGCATTGATACCCATTTCCATAGTATCCAGATTTACATCTGCAGTGTCCATTGGCACACAAGGCGTGTATGTCACACTTTTCACATTCATCGACTGCAGAAAACATGAGAAAGTGGTTTATCAGAAAGCCCAGCTGTACCAAGGGAGGGTCTACCTTCACCAATAACACACAAAATTAATTTTAATAGTGAATGGCGATCGACAGCTTCAGTGCATGACCTGTGTAACTACAATTGAAACAAACCTAAGATTTGTTGCAGCCAAATGCAACAGGACACTTACTTTCACAGTTAGGGCCACTGTACTGAACAATGCATGCGCAGTCATATCCTCCTCCGTTTTCGGTGCAGGAACCCCCATTCATGCACGGGTTAGGGTGGCAAGCTGAGTTAAGAGATACCCCTCCACCTGTTCCAGGAATACCACCAACACCTCCGCCTAATGGAAGGAAAACGTTGTAGGGAAAGTTCATTTCCAGCTATAATCAACTGAGGTCTAAATTCGTCTTTCAAAATAACTGCTTGAGTACCTTACTTTGTTTATGCAGACGGGTTAGTCCCATCTGAGACCAGCGGCCCAAAAGAGTAGCTGCCGGGCATAACTCAAGACAGACCATGGTCATGCTAGAGAAGCTTTAAGTGAATCAGTAGTTAAGGAAAAAAAGAACTCTTTTGACAACGAAAGATGATGTCGAAGCAGCAGCTCTAGAAACCATTATACCACGTCACAACATGCTCTCTCCGTGGTCCAGTCGCCATTTCCACTCATTCCTATCAGATCACAATTACACAGTTTACCTTTGGGCATTTCACAGAAATTTCCTTCGAATTCTTCAGGACAGGCACATACAGGTTTTGAATCTACTGCTGTACATTGACCACCATTCTGACACGGGTTGGGGTCACATGGATTGGCCTTACCTACATGGTGACAAAATCAGTGTTAAGAGTTACAGTATCGTTTAATATTAAAGTAATTTTATTTTTTAATCAACTTTTAAATTACTCTGCAGTCTTTTCTCCGGTTTGTTTAGTACCCTTTGTTGATCGAGTTTCGACTAAGCTGGATCTTTCATCCTCTAATCAATTTAGACTAAATGCAAACCGACTTGCTCTTTTCTCAAAGCATGCTGCACAAACCTTAGAGATCATGTTACCAATGAAACTTAACGATTTGTTGGTTGTACCGAGGCACCGAGGCAGAAAATCGGTCAAGTCTAAACTGTCTATTGCAAAAAAAATGCTCACTTCCACACCTATTCCTAATTCACAGTTGGTCCCCGAAAAGCCTTCTTTGCAGAGACACTGGTATGCATTGCCTTCGTCTAAGCATTGGCCTCCGTTTTGGCAAGGGTTTGAGTCACATGGACTGGCACGTGACGTAGGAGCTGAAAAACCAAACAACGCAAGGGAAAATAACAGTTAGTAAAAGAACGCGTTACGGTAGTAGATACGTTATCTGCTTCCATAGCAGATACATTATCAAGTTATCAGCTACCACAGCAGATACATATCACAACCTTGCCATCCCTTATATGCTCCATTCCTCTTCCAAAGGATCAAAACTCTGAGCAAAAGACACAATATTCTTCAAAAAGGGCTGTAGGCTGTTCATTAGACTTGTTATTCCCATCCCCGACATTACATCAATTTGAACAGTTTCCCTTCGATGACGACAACGTAATTCCGAAATAATCAGCTTCCTAACAACCGGAATCATGAAATTTGATATTCGTAAACTCTCCTTCATCTGATAACTCACGTACCCTGTAAAAAGCTCTTTAGACCTTTTCCTCATAGACGCAACGAAATACAATGAGTTTTGTTTTGGTGACCATATCAGCACCGTGAATAAGACCGTTACTTAGCAGGAAGGTGTTTTTATGGGGCCCATCAAGTGTTTGTCAACCTTGGCTTAGTTACAACTTTGCAAAAAAGCATTCCCACCACATCCCACTTCTTGTCATTAAATGTGGAACCGTGCAAGTGACAGCCCAAAGAGTGAAGCAGGAGGGGCGTGTAACGGTCGCTCGGGATAAAGGGTCTACATTTACCAGCAGTTATTGGGGAAATCGAACGGTCCAATAAAACCTTGCAACGGGGTAAGCATCCAAAATCTGTTAACTAAATCCCCAAATTTGATTGAGACTGAAACTGATACCACTGTTGTAGTTCATGTGGAAAGTACCCTCTCAGATATCCAACCCCGGACTTTAGCTTTGTGAGTTTTCCGCTCCGTTTGCAACAAGGTCTGATATTGGTTTCGTGAAACAATAAATGGAGGGCTGGACAATGTAATTATGTTTTTAAACAAAGTAATTGTTAGTAGCAGTTGTTCTCCTTTCACTGATAAACGTTTAGGTGAATGGTGTTATTTAGTTTATTACTTTTGCAAACAATCATTCTCTGACCAATTTTGAACGGATGAGAAAGATTTATCTTTAATATTTAATTATTTTACCTCTTTGCTACAGTTTGATGTTTTACGGAGTTTCTCCTTTTAAGAATTAATTTAAAATTTTACTTTTAACTTTTGTTTTTCTAAGTTAAACTAAGATGAAGTTCTTAAAACAACGTTTCTTACATTGTTTAGTTACTTACTTGGTTATTTAATTACTCACTTACTGAAATCCATTGTATATTTTTTAAAAACGTTATTGTTCACATCTGACGTGGAGACCGACAATTCTTTTCAATATTGTTGGGTCATTGGATGCACGAGTTTTGAATATAGAGTAGTCAAAGTTTGCGTGAGGGCTACAGTAAATTCGTGTCAAAAACGTTCTTGTTAATTGAAGTTACTGCTTTTTGCATTACTTTCCTATAACTTGGTAAGCTCTGAGACACTGCTGCTTAACGTGAACTAATTAGGTTTGTAAATGGCAAATGAAATAAGAAAAACCTTATTATTGTTAATGCTGTTGTTTTAAAGCTTTGCCATCTTAAGTGCGCTTGCCCTTGAGAGAATTTAAGCAACCACGACCAAGAAAGTAGCGAGAACGTGAAAAAAGAAAAAACGTAATGGGCAAAATCATTCTGTGGGTTCCCTTAACATCTTGGTAGACGTCTCGTTTGGAAAACAACGAAGTAGCATCACAGGGTCTTGGTGTGAAAGTAAACCGCTACCGGTTACTGATAAGAACTTCAAAGTCCTTACCAAGATCTGGACGCCTAGGACAAAATTAAGACTCTTTGAAAAATGGCATTAATTTTAGAGCGCGATAGGTCTATCTTGAGTGACGCTTTGCTTGGCTTCGTTGTCCTGGCTGCTTAAAATCAACATGATCATTGTCCAGAAATCAATACTCTAATTTCTAAACTCATAGGGCATTCAATTAATATGTGAAGGTGCGAGTGCAGTATTATTTATTAAAGCTTTGCTTTCTGCATCCATATTATCGATTATTTTGTCCCTTGTAAGTAAAGAGCGTTAATATTAACTGGGTTGGAGAAGTCTTTTTTTCCTGTAATAAATAATTATTACAGAGTGTTATCGTTACGCTAAGCGTCAAAGTCCATATCGTCCGTTTGCCATACCAAAATGGTTTGGCTTTAGTTTACAGTCCCAAGGTGCGCAGATATTAGGATTAAAGTCTGGTAGTCCAGTAATCCAAACTGAGAAGAATGTCATGTCTTAAAAAATCCAGTAAGTCGTCAGTTTTAGGAAATTTTTCTCGTTAGTTACTGTTGTCTGAACGGTTCTGCTCAGGTTTCGTATTTTTTGGGGGTATCTCTTTGACATTTTCACCCAACAGTACCAGTTGGCATATCGCTAGGAGGTCCGTAGGAACTTGGAGGGCCATATGAATTCCCAGGGCTTCCGGGTGCACCTACGATAGCAGGTAATGAAGGAGGTGGCGGAGAAGGAGGTGATGGAAGTGATGCAGGCGTAGAAGGTGCTGTGATTGAAATGATAAATAGGAAACTTTTAATTAACAATGAACACGTCATTTGAAAGACCATCGATCTGATCACTTCATGCCTCAATTATAAGACTGAACCTTTCCACCGTCAAAAAACCATGCAAGGTAAGCAGTTAGCGAGATCTTTTTGCCAATTTTGTTGATAATCCATGTTTACTGGTAGGAAAACTCCCAGGACTGAACATGCACTCTGAATTAATCCATGCTTGGGCTATGCCTTGCTTTAAAACAATACTTGACCTGATTTTGTTATTAACAAACCATGCACATAACACCGCATTGGCACCATCTTTGAGCCAAATTTGTGGATAACTGGCTCTTGAAGAACAAGCCGCTTTGGAGGCTGCACATGCACTACATATCACTCCAGGATTCAAATAGGCCTCACTAAGTCCTTCATGGAAGAATCAGTCTACCATCAGTAAACCAAAGCGGTACGTGTTGCCGCCTTTGGGCGATGAGGCTACCAATTTGATGGCTAAGCGATCCATAATTTTAGTGAGGCTATCGTTAACCTTCCACATGCACTACGCATCATTTTCATGTTGAACCCTGCGAGGTTTTTTATCTTATTGAGCCTCAAGGTCATAAATAAGCACATCATGAAAACGATAATGAGCAATTTGCGGTAAAGATTAACTGTTGGAGTGTTTCTCTCTTAACATCCTATCTGGACCTTGTTTTCACTGAACGAAGACGTAGTGACTTGTTCTCTCAATAAATCCTTCGACTTTACAATAATACACCTGGTCTGATCGTCTTCATTGCAAGTTACAGCACTTTTTCGAGGCAAAGACGCCTGGTCGTGCTCAGTACAAGATCTTCCGTTGTGCTATCCTTGTAAGCAGCCATTTTTCTTGCTTTTCCTGCAACATGCAATTCTAAGAGAGTTTGTACGAATAATACTTACTTCCAGTTTGAGGTGAACACGTCTGACCATCACCCACCCAGCCCTCCATGCAGATGCAGTTCCCGTTGTCGCAGCGGGCGTGAGAATCGCATTTGGCACATTTATCCACTATAAATATGACCCATTCCATGTGTTAGAAATGTGACGTTAAAATAAGGCAGACTTCGGTGAGTGAAAAAACTTGGTAGGTTCTACTAAGGAGAATAGGGCAGTAGGCTGGGGAATCACCAATCGTATGGATGACACCAGATCATAATGATAATAATATCCTCATGAGACTTTAAGAAAAGAGGACAATCCGGTGTTACCTATACTACTAAAAAGAAGAGGACAGCAAAACGCTTGTGTGTCACAAACGTGACAGGCCTATTACCCGCGTGTTTGTTGTGATATTCAATTAATATAACTGTGTTTTGATCTTTTACAAAAAGATCTTTTTAAAGGAAGGTGAAGTTTGGCGGAAATTGTTTTCAAACAGAATTATTGTCACGCTTGTCACGTAAGGTTTGCCGTCCACTTCCCGCTGCCGTCCCTCTACGTTAGTTCACTATTATCTGCTGTTACCAAATCATTTCAAGAATGGTCAATCAGTTCAAGCTTTATTAGGAAAGCCGCTGAAAAAATAATTGCATTACTTCATCAAAGGCTGTTTATGGCAACAGCGGTTGTCAACTGTGCCGGTAAAGTTGCCTTTCCAGGTCACCTATATTTGAAAAAAAAATCCCTAGACACTATACGAACTAGCGGCAGTCAATCGATGTGTGGTCCTTTGGGAAAAATGTCTCACGATAATATTTTGCCATAAGATCGAAGGGATATATCGGAAGATCATGCATGAGCTCGAAACGAGTATATCACTCTTGGCCATTTGTTAAGCAACTTTGAAGAAAGGTTAAACTAAAATGACTACTAAAATACGCACCATCGCAGAAGTTTCCCTCGAATTGTGCGGGGCACTCACAGGTAGCTATACCGTTCATTTCCTTGCAGGTACCGGAATTCTTACATGGGTTAGGGGAACATGGATTTGCCACTGTGGAAATAAAATAAGCAACAAGAATATCTACAACAAACATCTATAAAAGAAGTTTCCTATAATATATCAAAGCAATCTTTTACAAAAAAAAATCTTTTCTTCGATCGGGGATATTTGTCTAAATGCGATTCCTCTAGGAGACGCATTTCACATCTTCCCTGCAGCAGTATATACTTCAGACTAAGTTATCGATACATCTATAAGACGAATATCGCTTCCCGCTCGTTCTTACCGTTCATATTTTTAGGGAAGCGGGGTTTTTGAGATCCTGCAGTGCATTTCCAGTTATATGAATCCCGATCTCTTAGTACATTATTATTCCATTCCAAATATAACGTAAAAATCACTGTTGAACAATTTACTTACGTTCGCAATCGTTGCCCTCATAATTATGAAGGCAGGTGCATCTATATCCGCTCTCTTCTGGGATACATGTTCCTCCATTCTTACAAGGATTGGGAATGCAGTACTGTCGAGCTAGAACATAACAAAGGAAACAAATATTGTTATTCAACAAATCAAAAGAATCCCAGCTGGCCGGGGCTATTTACAAACATCATTGAGGAGCTAAACTTGGGTTTATAGAGAAAAATTCCAGCCAGTAACCTCCCTAAAATTGTGTTACAATCCTCTTTTATACTAGCCTCTCCATGCAGATGTTCTTATGGGTTCGTCACGCCTTTCTGTTCCACGGCGCGTGGCGAAGCCATAAGAACGTCTGCGTGGAAAGCGACTTCAATACTACCCACTTTCACAATGAGGTCCAGTCCATCCCAGCATACACTCGCAGTCATAAGAAGAATCCGTTGGTACACAAGTACCACTGTTTTTACAAGGATTTGGATGGCACACATTTCCTGGCAAACGAAGCAAATAACAAGAATTCGGAATAAACGATACGATTTTGATCATTATTTATTTATTTATTTTATATTTTTTACAAAAGTCAAGATTACATTGTCAAGAGAGCACAATAACTAGACAACAAATATTTTTCACCCAAGGTGACCGTCTCTAAACCTGAGGTGAGCTGATGCCAAAACAACTTGAACTAGACATACTTACTTTTGCATGTTTTTCCGTCTCCATGATAACTTTCTTTGCACACGCAGTGCCCTAAAATGCATTCGGCATTTGGACTGCAATATCGACAGCTGTCATCTACAAATGAAATACCGAGGATGAAACTAGCGCAAAGCTTGGAAATTTATATCACTGTCTGCATTTATTTATTATATTTAATAAATGCTACCGGTGGAGAGCAATCAGTGACAATAACAGATAATAAACTTCCTTTAAAGATGATGAGCCCAAGTGAGGGAGAATCAGTTGTCCATGTTTGTGAACATGCGTAAGGTTCTGACCAGACCGTACTAAGTGTCTTACTTACTTTTAAGTAAATGAAACGTTGGTTGAGGATGAAACAATAACCTTTTCACATTCAGTTTTTTCCAGGGTAAAAGACCAAAGATGTTCACTAAATTTAAGACAAAACAGGTTTGATTTTACACCTACTAGATGGTCTCTCATCTTTCCTGAAAACAATACGTTACCTTCACAGTTGCGGCCTGCAAAGGGCGCGATGCATTTGCAAATATACGCCATTGCATTCTGCTGAGAATCAACAAAGGAAGGACTGGAATATAAGTCCACTGCGTTCATATCATTGTGTAGAAAGTAGGTGTCAATGCATGTTCCTCCGTGTAGACAAGGGTGTGATAAACAGGAACTGAGTACTAAAAGAAAACAGCAAATGCATGTTAAAAACAATGTCTTGAATTCCTTGACGACTGTTAGATCTCCAACCAGTTTCATTAACAACCCTAAATTCTGGAATTGAAAGAGGAGATATTTAAACATAAAAAAGCTACAATGACTCAGCAAAAGAATTATCTCAAGGACCCGCTGGTTGTTGTGTGTTTCTTAGAAACTAATGGAAATCACACTATCGGGGACATTTTAAAAAGGAGAGGTAAAATAACTACTGCAAAGTCACCATGCCGGTAAACAGAAAACGGAGGAACAATAGTCCTCTAAGGCACGCTCAGGATGTCAATTTTTGCATATAAGCATTCTTCTGGGAATAAAACTGTTTGATTACGAATTCAATCCTTTGTGGGAGTAAAAAGATTTCCGAAACCCAACGTCAATAATCTGCCCTGAATCATGTTCACTTAAACAGCACTTCCATACACCAATATACTTATGCTTACATTCACATCGGTCTCCATGGTTACCAACGTGACAGACGCATCTGTAAGAGGAGCCCTCCTCGAGACATGAGCCGCCGTTATGACAAGGATTTGGTCTGCACACGTGATCTAAAAAATACAACACACCAGTTTCAAAATTGCATTAACATAAGAAGTCTTTCTCGAATGTATAGTCTTTGAATCGAAAAAGGTTAGGATATCACTTCAACAAAGGGCAATGAGGATATATGACTAATGGACAACTCTATAAATATCTTGGGATCAGAGAACATTTTTCTCTCCTCTACGCCTAAGGAACTCGAGAGGGCTGATGCTATCTTAGAAGAGATCTTATCTGGACATGTGACGTTAAATACGATTACGAGTCAGTATGGCCACTGTAAATATTTTCATCACGTCAGGAAGATACCGCGATGGGGACACAAAATATGCCAGAAATATTGACTGGAGAAATGTTGAAATCCCTTCAACTGAAACCATCTCAAACCATCGCAAGGGTCCCGTGTTGACAAAACTCCGAATACAAAGAATGTCCTATCAAAAGGTTGGCCGTTAAATTTGAAAAAAAAATACGGAATTTGCCATTGGTCAGGACATTTTAAAGCTGTAATCTTCAAGGGTATCAATTTTGGCCTTCGTGGGTTGGATCAGAGTTGAAAACGTCTTTACCTCGATGGGCGACATGAGATAGCAGTTACAAGAAGTTCCATTTTACTCACTTTGGCAGTTCATGCCACTATAACCCATTCGGCAACTACATCTGTAACCGTAAGTCTCATCTAGACAGGTACCTCCGTTCATACAGGGATTTGAATAACAAATGCTTCGTTCTAAAAAAAAAAAAAAGGCGAACATAGATTACAGAACTTGACAATGCAATGAATCACTTCATTGTTGTAATGGATTCTAACGTGTCTAGTTTCACCTCGACAAAGACTGATCAGCAAAGTGTCTTCATTACCAGAACGTTTATCTCGTTTGCTGAGGTGGAACGAAATGAAGGACTGACTCGACGAAATTTCAGTGAAAGCCATTAGTGATTATACACGGTGTTATGGTGAGCACATAGATAAGTATGATTAGATTTTGATTGTTTGGTAACCAAGTACGCCGGCTTCCTGCCACCTGAGCCCTGGAGCCTTGTATTAAAAATTAATGCCTTGACACATAACCCTATTCATAATGCTGTCGTCATACCAGTTTCTTTTAAGGAGCATTAATTACACAGTGTCAAGAGTACGCCATACCTTCACAAGTGATCCCCTTGTAACCGATGGGACACGTGCACTCGTATCTTCCTCCAACTCTTTCTGTACACGTTGCACCATTTTTGCAAGGGTTAGGAAGACAGAGATTGATTTCTATGTGAGGGTAAAGAGTTATATTAAGGCGCTCACTCAAAAAACAGTTTGAACTGTAGTTTTTAATTGAGTACTACATCCCTACGTGATCAAAGGACTTCATATCTACACTGCAAGGCATAAAAAAATATCTTTAATGTTTCTGTCATGAATATTAAGGGCTAATATTCTTTCTTTTAGATTTACAGTCCAAGAATTAAAGGCCCCATAGTTCGATGATTGAGCAGTGCTGACCTACTTTGTTATATCTTACGATAGTACTCTAACTTCTATCGCAAACAGTCGTATGTTGTTATAATTGTTGTTGTTGTTTTTGGTTTTCACCTTCGCAGTTCTTTCCTTTGAACCCTTCTCTACACGTGCACTCAAAGCCTTCTCCTTCGTTGATGCCAGTACATGTGCCTCCATTTCTGCATGGATTGGGATGACACTTGTTCTGTTCTATTAAGACAAATAAAAACAAATTCGATGATCTAGAGATAACATATTGGCGATTGTAAGTCTGCCATATCAGTAATCGAACTGGGATTGAGAAAAGTTTGTCTCTAAGCGGAAAGAAAATCGAAAAGATAAACTGGAGAAAACATCTCCTTGGAGCAAGGGAGAGAGACAAAAACGATGTCAAACCCACATTGACGTCACCTGCTGGGGCATGATAACGGTAGACGAGTACTCTGAGCAAAATATAGATCAGCCTTTAATTTCATCCTTACATTTTCTTCCAACACCTTCTTTTTATCCACGCGTTTGGTTTTAATAATCATTGTCACAAAGACTTATCAATAAGTAGTACCTTCACAGTTTTGTCCTCGGTAGCCCTTTGAGCATGTGCATTCGTAGCCTTGTCCTACGTCATAACAAGTACCTCCATTTCTGCACGGATTTGGCTCACATTGACTTCTGACTACAGGACATGAAGAAATGACAAGAACTGACAAAGGAATGACAGGAATGAAGGACATGCATCACTTAAAATCAAGGCAATGACTTGGGACTAAAACAGAGACGTAGACCACTGGAGATATCTGTATTAAATAACTCTTTCTGCTAACAAAGGTGTTAAAACCTACGTTCACAATGCGTTCCCATGAATCCTGGAGAGCAAGTACATTCGTACCCATGAGCCACCACGGTGCAAGTTCCTCCATTTTGGCAAGGTATCGGTTCGCATGTGGAGTGAGCTGGGGTTCAATTTAATAATAAAGATGAATACCAAAGGTGCAATAGTATAGAAGTTTTTTTAGAATTAATGTAAGAGCAGAAAACTGGAAAACTGGTTATGGTTGAGTGCTTTCGCTTTGCCTTTGGCGGAGCAGGACGGGTCAATTACTGTGGCTACATATACACACCGGGAAAAGCAATAATAATGGCACAGATTGTATTGAGATGGATTTGTACCCTCTAAGCTTGGTTGCTGCACTGGGCGCAAAATGCAAACGTCGCCTGGTTTATTTAAAATAGATTTTTCGCGGCAATTTTAGCAAAGCGGACATGTAATGTCAGGTCTCTCAGTACGCAATTTTACGTCATATAAAGCAATGAATAAAAATGAGGGATGAATTCTTTTGTTTAAGATCTTTTTTGACAAAGAATGTGCAAAGGAAACTTTAAATCAGGGAAACGGCTGGGAAACGATCTTTAGTACCTAACGCTGTGATAAATAAAATAAATGTAACTTATAACATATATCTTAAACTGAAATGTGGAATGAATTGGAAAGAAACGAAACCAAAGAAGGTTCTTTCATTCAAAAGCGTCATAAAAATTTAACATGTTTCTTGCCATTAAGCTTCATAAAATTCGCCCCAATACAAATCTTTAATTTAGGGACTAAAATCAAAGCGCTGTTTCAAATCTAACGGTGATAGTGTAGCAAATAAAACAGTGTATCAGTGTTGCAACCAAACATTGTAACTGTATTTTACTATCTGAAGATTTTTCCATGCGCTAACGCCTTAAGGCGTTATCCAATCTTGCAAATGGCATTCAACAATTTGTAAACAAGCCCACACTAGCGTAGTATTGATGTCTTTTATAGATATAATGGATACTTATTTATACTAGGCTCTTATATGACCTTTGCACACCATGAATTCGTCTGGGGGCTTGTTGTGCCATGTGTGCAAAAAATGCAAACAAAGTTAATGGGAGCGGCAGCGTTCGGGAAGTGTATTTATGTGAAAGAATACGTTTTTAGCGCATCCTTAAATCTATTTTCCTCTTAAAGTAGCATATGAAGGGGGATATGCATAGGCAGCGAACCTTTTTGACCCACTCACCTGGATGATGGTGAACTATTATCCGATGTATATGAGGGTGGGGAAAATTGAAAAATGCAGGCATCTCTGGAACAAACTGTCTCTTCATGTACGAGGCATCTTCCTTTTTATCTGAAGAGTTCCACTTGAGTCTCTTCCCTTTTTCTTGTCTCACTAAATTATCCCTCCTCCATCTTTCATTGAACAACGTTCGGTGTTTGACCGACTTGTGACCTAATTTTGTTGCTCTAATTTCATGAACTGTGGCTGATATTAAACAAATTGAGAAAAATATCAACACTTCTTTCATATTCCAGGTGTTATCTTTCCCATTAACATAAACTTGGTAAAAAATAGTCTAAACTATAGCCATTTTTTGGACAAAGCGAATGGTAATTTTGTATTAATAATGTATTGAATGGAGGGTGGCGCTAGTCATTAGCCCATGAAGCTATTCCAGAGTCTTATTGGTCAAGACAAAACTTCTCTTTACGATAACCTGTTTGTGTTTACTGAACATTGACCACTTTAAAAACTAGGTTCTAAAGCAAATTTTCATCTTTAAAACAATTATTTAATCGTAGAAATAAACTACAGGAAGTCATTGGCTCAATCAAGAAAATTAAGCAATGCTTTATTACGATATAGGTTTGTTCAACTGAATATTTTTGGAACCCTCATAGATATACATTCTGTTTGTCCACCAAATTTTCAATAAATAAATGATTTCAAAAGCTCTTGGGAATATGCAGTCGTCTCATAACAAAAATTGAAAAACTTGGTGGAGAGGAAAAGGGAGAAAGAGGGTATTAGAATGGGTAATAGAAGATAAAAAAAACGCCATTTTTAACACAGAGGTAATGTAATAAAACAACATAAACTGCTTACTCTTATCGTGAAGTTAAAATTCGGTTGCAAATCATTGGCGACCTAACGGACCCACCCTTAAGTGACAGGAATGACCGTGATTGTACGTGGACTAACATTTTGAATCTTCAGTTGAAAGGCCAGAAATGTTCGAAAAACGTGAATTCACTATGAAGCAACACCGCTGAACAGTTCCTACAAGATGCGCACAAGGTTTCGGGCAAAATATTGTTACCATTCTCTGATTTCTGGCAAGTTAATTGTTCCTAATAAGAACTTAATAGGAAACAACAAAAAAACAAACAAATCTTAATACTTTCAAGTCCTACAAATTGGATCAACGTTCCTATTTTTCTTTTTGCGAGAAATTAAGAAAAGAACTCTTATTCTTAGCTAAGCAAAAACGAAAGAGTGTAGACTAGTGGGATAAAGCCATCCCAATAGAGTGGTTTTCACTTGACTGTCGTAAAACCAAAACCAAAGTAAATACACTAGCCAACCAAAGGGCGTAGTAAAACCAAAACCAAAACCAAAACCAATCCCTTTCGACAGTCAAGTGAAAACCGCTCTATATTTTCCTTCTTGTACAAATACATAGAGAACTATTTTAAAATTATCGCTGTAACATCATTGGACGAAAGCTGATTCGTAATTATAAAGCTATGGTTCCATATTATAAGAAGAATAAAAGAAGAAATGGGAAAGAAGAAATGGGTCAAGTGGAAAAATTTCTCTCCCAGGAGGTTCCATGACGGGTCCCAGTATTGTTTACAGAAAACCAAATGCGGGTTGGAACCCGCAAAACTGCTGTTACTGTTTCTTGCCACGTCATATAAATTGCTCGAAAATTATTTCCCAAACAACTGATCTGTGAAACTTAAGTCTTTGTAATGGCTTCGGTTTAAGAGTGTCCGCTTTCAAACTTTCATCTTTGACAAATTTTGTGAAAGCATGATGCTTAGCAAATGGCCCTCACGATTGTTCTTGTTGTGTTTATATATGGACATTATAAGCGCTAGGACTGGAGCGGCTTACAAAGGTGGCAACACAACTAAAACAACAGGTGACATACGCGATGATCGAAACGATAAAAATGAAAAGGAAAAACGTTTTTCTGTTGACTTCATTCCGAAGAAACGAGTGGTCTATTCCTTCGTAACAGACAGAAACCGATTTGTACCAAGGACACCACGTTTGTATCGCGCCTACATTGTAAAACGCCCGTTGCTCGTTCGACAAACGACGGAAAACGCCCAAGGGCGTCAATCCATCCCTTATGCAGATGCATTTTCCACATTCCCAAGCGAACAGCTACTCAGGGATCACACAATTGCAGCCCAGCCAGTTTTTTACTATCAAGAACCAAATGAACAGCAGCAACTGACGGACCTTGAGGAACCTTTGCAAGAGGAGACATTTCCCGAAGTACCGGAGGAGTTTTCAGGTACGATTGAACGGCAAGTTGATTTTTAAGTGTCATGGTTAAATATAATTAAATTCTGGTAGAAATGCCAAATGCTGAATTGTACTCCGCACGGCGCTAATTTAATGGTAATTTGATTTGAATATGTTGTGCAATATACGTACACGATTCATTGTGTTTTGCTTTTAATTTGAGGTTAAATATTAGTAGAAGTCTCTTCTAAACGGTGTTGGAAACAAGCGGCTGGCGGTCAATCCTATACGTCCGTGGCCAGCATTGCCCTGACTAATTTCTCCGAATACAGAATATCCGCATTTTCCAACCAGATGATTAATGAGAGACAGAATACCTTTTATTGGTGCTTTAACAAAAAGCCAACAATAGTATGAAGAGTAAAGCTAAGCGGAAATAATGACTCCACTATAGCAATTGAAATGATCACTAATTAAAAAATTTTTTTCCTCACAGAGTGATGGTGTTAGGAGTAACATGTACAAGAGTCGAAAATTTAGAATAAAAGTTCCCCTTTCACTTGTTATGGTCAGTAACAGCGAAATCCCAGGCACTACCTGTTTCATTTGCAACGCTGGGAAATATTGTAAACTACATTAAGAGCTGTTCATATCAGCAGCATGGTTAAAAATAAAAATATCGTTCTAATGAGGCCTTAAACTGCTGTTTAGAAAATAGAATGTTATTTTTCTAAACAGCAATTAAAGACATTTCTAATAAATTAGCAAACTTTTGCATCAAGGAAGAAAAGTGAAACTGATCATTTATGATACCATACCGAAAACCCTGACCTCTTAATTGGTTAATGAGTGTATCATACAAAACCTGCATTGAAAAACAAAACAAAACAAACAAACAAAAAGTGGAAAAATACACGGAATGTGGCTGTATTTACAAGGTTGGTGTTTGGATATGACACGAAACACTTCCTCTCGTGTTTGATAAATGACGTAGTCGTGTTTTGATCTAAATCAAAATTAATGCTTCTTCTTGTATTTGTTACTTCTATTTGCTGCCTTTTTTTTATAAACAGTTAAAACACTTTTCGGTGTCTCAATGGCAGACTAAAGACTTACCTAATATATTACTGAAAATACCTCAAGTATTACAAATCCGTCTCCACAGTCCACATTGATCGTTGTCATCCTAATCCATGCTATAATGGCGGCCGCTGTAGAAGACGTAGACATGGAAGATTTAGGTGCATTTGTCATCGAGGATACAGTGGAAGACTCTGTGAAGGTATTCATTCCTATTCAAAAAAATTAATGAATGTTCAGTAGGCATATTAGAGACCTTCCTCAGTTTTTTCCTGCGAAAGCGCAAAACGCGAACTTATATAATCAATTTAGTTTGCAGTTTCGCGTTGTCAGGATTTCGAGTTTTAGCAAAGCATTCGTGGTTTAGTGCCGCCATGTTGTTTTTCGTCAAGCCGCAGTGCTTCACTTTTATCGGCCAAAAAACATGAAGAATTCAAAGATTCGAGTTCAAAATTCTAACTGGCACATCACAGGCTAGTGAAGAAGCCTACTGATCTTGATCTTGCCTAAATGTGAGGCTGTACAATTTTAAAAGGCAAAAACCTCGCTGTAAATCACTTACCGCTGGAAGCTCTTCCTGCCGTTGAAACGTTAACTGCAAACTGCAAACTGCAAACTGCAAACTTGACCTCAAGACCGTGGTGACGTGACATCCTCAGGTTTGCCGTTTGCCGTTAAACATGGCCGTTAACCAATCTACTGTCCGATTGAATGCGCAGATTCAAGGTCCCAAATTATTCCTCTTTGCAGTTATGCGAACAAAATGTAAACCAAACCCCTGTTTAAATGGAGGATCATGCACCGATGTGAAGGGAGGATTTGAATGTTCATGTCCATATGGCTACAAAGGAGAAACTTGTGATCGTAAGTGTTCTACTACCCTCTTTACCCACAGGTATCGACGGTCTACAGAGGTTTGCTTGCGAAGCTGCATTTTTTTTGGCTGGTCAAACTCGATCAAAGTTCGTTATTACGATTAGCCATGTTTAATTGATTGCAAGCGCTTTCGGTTTGTTATAGGGCTAATATATTTGGAAGTTTAAGCAGCCACGCCGACGTCAGCGACAGAGTCATAAAAACACTTTATTTTATGAGCAAAATAAAGCTTCTGCAAGTGTATCACATTTTTTGTTACCTGATTTCTCATTGACGTCCACTGAACTGGTACGACGTAAAACTTGCAACCGCGACTATTCGTGGAGGACATAGACACACGACTACAAATTTTCGATACGCTTTTTTTAGTTTTAAACACCTAAGGAATCAACTCTAAGAAAAGTTTCCACTTTCGACAAAATGAGAAAGGCTTATGTTCGCTGTTAATAAGCTCACTATCTGCTTTGCTTATAGGGGAAGCTATGTGCAAAAATAATCCATGTCAAAATGGGGGCTCATGCACAGAATTGGACAACGGCTTTCAGTGCAGCTGTTTACCAGGATATCGCGGTAGAAAATGTCAAGGTAAATTCATAGAGGATATTACACGGTGGCGCGAAGATATGAATTTTTTTTTCGAGTGGCAAAACAATATTTTACGAACGAGCGCAGCGAGTGAGTAAAATATTGTTTTTGCCACGAGAAAATAAAATTCATATCTTGAAGCCACCGTGTAATTGTTCTTTTTATTATATAGACAAAAGACATCGATAAAATAATAGTGGGAAATGACCGAAATTACGTCATCGATAAACTCACGTGTGAGGTTATGGAAAATAAACCACTCGGGTCCCGGATGTAGTTTTTATGAATTTTACGAGTGGTATATTTTCCAGTAAAACACTCGTGTCTATATAATAAAAAGTGATAACAGTCCGCATTGTTTATATCTTGTTCGTAAAGCTAATTTTTGCAATCTGTTCGTGCGTGTATTAATATATGTTTGCGTTACTGCTCGTTTGGTCACTTGCGTTAATTTTGTCGTTAGGATCGGAATTAAGTTTTACAGATGCCATACCAACAAACTGGTTCGTTATTTTTTAATACTGATCTATTGCAGAAAATAGCTACTGTTACCAAAACCCTTGCAAAAATGGTGGAACCTGCACCGAAACGGACACTGGATTTGAGTGTATTTGCACTGCCCAATGGAGCTGCATCGATTGCAGCTGTACCGGTAAGCCTTGCCTTCTTCTTTCTAGGTTTATTGAACATCTTCCAATTTGAAATATATACAGAATATACCACATATGCTTACCGGGGAAGTTCCTGGACAAATTTGCTTTTCCTAACAGTTGTAACACTGATTAACCTACAGCCACAGCCAAGCATTCAGAACTGGAGTATTGTTTCCCAAGTCCATGCCAAAATGGTGGAAGCTGTTTTTCAACGCACAACGGATATAAGTGCCTGTGCAGGCAAGGATACAAAGGAAATAACTGCGAAGGTAAAAAGAGAAACTTTTTGTTAAGTATTTTGCTATAGAAAATGTAACTAAAATGAATGTGTCAGTTCTTGAAGTTTTTCATGTGGCATGAAGAGGTCCCTGCGAAAAGGTGCGCATGTTTCTTTGGTTCCTTTTTTATTTGCTTACGTGTTTTCTATGTATAAATTTAAAGCTTTGCTTTATTAAAAAAAGTCAGGCTGAAAAATAATTATTGACCGGATCAAATGAAGAGGCCACGACAAAGTGAGTATTAGGAGCTATGATAAGCAGCTGTAATAGGGAGCAAGGATCATTACAATTGCTAGTGGCCGTCCTTCTGTGTGACAGGTTCCGAGTTCGATGTCCTGGTGTTACCTCGAATCCTTGTTTCTGCTTCTCTCCTTTCCGTGTAGATTTAAGTAGCTTTTAATTCCTGTGTAAAATGGAGCACTTAAGGAAAGAAGGGGGATGGGGACGTAAAATGAGGGTACGGTCGGCCTCACGTTTGTCAGTTTAAGCACTGTTAAGAGTAACTGACGTAAAATAAAGACCTTTACCTTTTTTAAATTATCTGACCTTGTGTGAAGGCTATCGTAATTAGAGAAGAAATTTTGCATAGAATAGTGTTAAGATATGTTCGGCCCGCAGGTACAAACCGCGGGTTACAGGTCACACGGTGTAGGTTAGAAAGACACTCAGGTCATGATACAACGGCGAATAAACAATATTATAAGTGTCATCCAGCCCGAGACCTAATCACAATCCGAAATAGGGGAAACTGCTTTTCTCAGTTATTTATCAATAGAGCAGTGATCTGTACTTGTGACCTGGGCGGCTTGTTTAATGCAGATATGAGCGGTGGCATTCCCTTTTCTCTCGTTTTTTCTTTCAGCTCCGGAGTATTGTACATCTGCACCTTGTCTGAACGGAGGGACTTGTAAAGAAACAGTCACTGGCTACAGCTGCCACTGTAAAAGCCGATTTCGTGGGGATAACTGTGAAGGTATACAGAGGTGTTAAACGAAAGATCATGTTTTTTTTTTTTGGTTGAAACTATATCACCAATTAAGATTCACAATAATGATAATGCTAAACTTTGGATAACTGAAAACAAACTCTCTCGTTAATATTTGTGTTTCTACACAAAGCCACTTTCGTGTATTCCACAGGTGTCATCGTTAAACTTTACAACAACAATGATCGAATGTTTTCTAATCATCCTTATCATTACATATCCCTATTTGAATCTCCAGTTGAAAATCATTGTCGGCCTACAAGTCCGTGTGAACATGATGGCTTGTGTGTTGAGACGGAGGATGGATATAAATGCAGATGTAAAGTTGGTTATAAGGGAGTTAACTGCGAAGGTAAATCTCAACATCTAATTTAAAAAAATAGAAAAACGTAACAATTGAAACTGAAGAATTCCAGGTAAAGCGTGCTTGTGAGCTCTCTATAATGACAAGTAACTTTTTTCTTGTTGTTTCGCATTTTCATAATCTCACTTTTTCTTCATCACATAAGAAAAGGACTATTGCACCCCAAATCCGTGCAAACACGGCGGATCATGTACCGAGGAAGAGGGAGGATATTCATGCGCATGTCAAGTAAACTTCAGAGGAGAGATATGTCAAAGTACGTGCTTTTATGTATCGAAACGAATTTTTAATATTTACTTATGAAACTCATGTTCTTGTGTTTTATTAGTTACGTGCCTTATATTGATAGTAATAAAAAACCTTTCTTATATAGACATTGCACCTGCCTTACAGTCAAACGACAGCATGAGTATTGACGCCTTGTGTGCAAAATCCGACTGTGGTCTCACTCCACCACACCCCATAGTCTACCGAACCATAGTAGAACTACATACATTTTTTCCTTTTGGTTTCCTATGTTGTTGCCTTTCTGTTTGTTTATTTGTTTGTTTCAGTTTTGTTTTGCTTTTGTTTTTCTTTTAATAATTAAAAGCTGTGACGCTATTTAAGTCACTAAATAACTTTTTAGCGAAAGGCAAGCTACAATCAAGCTGAACTGTGCCAGTATCTTCAGGCCAAAGAAAGCACACGCATGAACAAAAGATGGTTGAAAGCTAATAATCTCTGCACGTAAGATATTATTGCTAGTCCCGCCTGAATGGGAGACAAACCTGTCGCAGGGGCCAGTACCCTAAAATGAAGTCGCTAGTACGCATACACCACTGTTCCTTCACAACAAAATTTACTGAAAGCACACGATTAGAAAGCTTTTTATTTTTGATTTTTTTCGTTTAGTTCAGGATATGTGTGCCTCTAATCCCTGTCTGAATGAAGGAACATGTATTGATATGGATAACAACACATTCAAGTGTCTGTGTAAGGGAGGCTGGAAAGGACTCAACTGTGAAGGTATAAGTAGCAATGTCTGTTTGAATTTTAACAAGACGCTGCGGGAGCGTATAGTTGGGCACACAAGTAAATTCATTTTCATTTAGAGATTTACCTCTCTTTGCATTACCACAACTAATTGTCCTTCAAAAGGTTAAAAATTATTTCAAAATTCATTTTAGAGAAAGATTTTTGTATCCCAAATCCCTGCAAAAACGAAGGTCACTGTATATCACATGGATTCTCATTCGAATGTCACTGCTCGCTTGGCTACAAAGGAAAGCACTGTGAAGGTATGGTATACAGGGATACAGTTGTTATGTTAGTTATAGTTGTTACATTCAATGAGTTCATTGCAAAAGAAACTGAACCGAATTTTGAAAAAGAAACTGAGAATATCGTCAAGAAAGAGAATAAAATATTCACACACTTCCCTATTTTCAAATGTCCCTGCTTACCTTTCTACCTCATTGCCGATGAAATCCCGAGAAATAGCACTATACTAAAAAACCTAAGAAACAAACATATTAAATTCCCCTTTCAAAACGAATATGATTTTACAGCCGTTTTGAGTGTGTTTACAACCTAAACGCCAAGGTCCGTATAAATGCATGGAGAATGTAGGCAAAAACTGTTTGTTTCATCAAACACACTAATTATTTGTATGGTTTTGTTTGTCAAGCTAAGGACCCTTGCAGCCCTAATCCATGTCATCATGATGGCCAGTGTCTCATCAGTGGAGATAACGACTTTGAATGTAATTGTGCTCGAGGATACACTGGACTTAAGTGCGAACGTGAGTTAGTCCCGCGGCAGCTATAAAATAGTAGTCGTAAAGTGACACCCTTCTTTCATACAAGGCTTGTATGCGGTGCCACGCAAGGGTAAGAACAAGCAGTACAATTGGAAAGATGTATTAGTCAGTAATATTGTACAAGTTACTGAGTCCACGCGTACATGCATAAGCCAGCTCTAAATAAAATTTAAAGAAACGCATTCTTGTGCAAGTTATCGTCATCTTAACTTAACAACTAGAAATCTTAATGGAAACAGTAATGATCACTGTGAACGCTTTCTTTAAATTTCTCCAAGAATTTATCGCGATGTAAGAATCTAAAATTTTCAAACACTTAAAAAGGTTATCATCAGTTTGTGAACGCTCTAAAATACATTCCGCTAGAAATGGGTTTTCTTGCGCTCGACAACTCAGTTCTCTTCTAAGAAGATCGCCAGATCAATGAGCCGGTACGTCACCTCAAGTCCCGATACTTCAAGCCCTTAGCCCTATAACTACTATTCACAAACTGTAGATGAGAAGAAGGAAAAAATTTATTTTATTTATCTGTTGATTCATCATTTTACTTTAAGGACTTAATCCGTGTTACCCTAATCCTTGCAATGGAGGGAAATGTAAACAAACGGTCAACAGCTTCAAATGTTCATGCCCCCCTGGAAAAGTAGGAGAGCTTTGTGAGGGTAAGACATATTTTTTTTTTTTTTTTTTTCATTCAGAAAAAATGGGAGCTAGCTGGTGATCCTCTACGTCTCATGTATTTTTAGGACAACAAGGACGCAGACCAGCTTAAATTCTCTTAGTTACTTTGATAGTCAAACCACAAATGCTTTCTGATAAATCTCTTTTCATTTCCTATACCAAGGAAATGTAATTATAAACTATGTAATACTGCTGTCATTTATCACAGAAAACGACCCATGCTTGCCTAATCCGTGTCAGAATGAAGGAGGCTGCGTTGCACTCATTCATGGTGCATATAAGTGTACTTGTCCTGTGGCATTTGTGGGAACTTTGTGCGCAGGTAGGGAATAATATTAATCCGGTAATACTTTCTCTTGATAAAAGCGAAAACACATTGTCATTTCCAAATTTAACAGCCGAGACACTTTATGCTATATCTGTTCAGCTAATTAATCCACAGTATATAGCTTTTGTACCGCATTTGATCTGAGCAAAATCCAAAACTTTTTGGAGCGCTCCAACGGATTCAGAACCATTCAGAACTTTCGATGAAGTTGGACTAACATTTAAGCTTTATTATGTATTAGTGCTAGACTTGCAACGTCAATAATTGTTTATTTCATTATTATTACTATAATTATTTTTCAGATCCCAACCCCTGCCTTCCCAGTCCATGCCTGAATAATGGCACATGTTTAAATACTGGTATCACATTTCAGTGCCAATGCCCTACAGGATTCTACGGGAAGCGATGTGAACGTACGTTGTCAGTGTTTTAAAACTTGTAATCTTAAGTTTTTAAGACATACATACCTACTTGGTTTCGGAAAATTGTCCAAACCTATGAAAAGGCTGGGCAAATCGTCATTAATTCATTCCTGTCGAAAAGAAAAGTGCCGGTTAGCTTAATATTGTGATACTATCGAAAAGTAACTTAAAAATGGTGCACATAAAAAGTTTGTTTGTTTGTTAATTTTGTTTGTTTTTCTTTTCTCCCGACGCGCGAGTCGGATTTTATTCTTGGCTATGAAAGCTTTCACTCATTAATTTAGATGTACGAAGACTGAGAATCTGTTTACTTTACGTAGTGATTTTGCATTTTTCTCTTCATTGCTTTTGTTTGCCCTTTGTTCACAGATCAGTCTAAGTGTGTCCCTAATCCCTGCCTTAATGATGGCACGTGTCGTGACGTAGATATTGCACGAGGTTACGTGTGCTACTGCTCCATAGCGTACCTGGGACCCAACTGTGAAAGTGAGTGTTGGTTGAGTAGGCTACTTGAAAGTAGGAAAAGTTCGAAAGTTCGCCTTTTTTATTTCACAGTACTATCTTCTTTATCCTTTGTTAATAGAAAAAGCGGGCTTCAGTTCTCACTATCGAACTTTTATTGTGATGTCCTATCTACAGAGAGTTTTATCTCTACGTACATACAGAGTATAGAAAACCATAGAAGCCCAATTTTTACTTGAAAATTGATGTGACAAGCTATCAGCAGTTGTTGCTCATGCAAGTATCTAACTGTCACAAACGTTTCTTATTAAAATACCTAAAATGCTTGCAGTTTCTCAGCTAGTTTGGGCTCCGTTGAAACCAAAACCAATCAAAATTTAAATGGGAGCCAACCACATTGCGAACACAGATACTGACAGAACATATAACAGTGAAAACTACGTAAAAGAATGTAAACTAGGTGAAAGCTTCAACCAAAGCACTAGCTCAACTTAAATTTAGGAACTTGCAAAGGCATACAAGATTTCTTTACGCTAAGAGAGATGTTTCATAATATCTTTCTAAATGCATTATCATGTCATATAGGAGCTAACCTATGTCATCCTAACAACCCTTGCCAAAATGGCGGCACGTGCAAATCTGATGGGACGAATGTAATTTGTCAGTGTGCACCAGGATATTTGGGACCTCATTGTGAACGTAAGAATTTAGCTATAAATGCAGCAATAAATTTGATAAATAGTAAGAATAATGCATGGTGATACAACTAATTTAAGAGTTATAGCCGAACTCTCAGACTGCTGAGTATCGATTAGTCAGTTCAAAGTCAGTGCACACCTCTCAGTAGAAACCACTTCTGTCTTTCGAACGATTTTTTTTTTAACTTTCCCTTCTTCAAATTTAAATAGATGACATGAGGTAACATTTACTTGTATTCGTTATCAATAAGGTGCAGTATGTATGTATGTATGTATGTAAATCTTTATTTAAACACGGGAAATCATCAGTTAAGCTTAAGTTAAAAACTAAAACTAATTACAACTGCTTTACATGATTGCCGTGGGGGAATCCCATATATCAGCTACCTTCTTGATATTTCGCTTAAAATGCTCAACGGATGCAGCGTTTTTTAAGTTTTTGGGCAAGTTATTCCATAACATGGCCCCGCTGTAAGAGAAGCTTCGTTGCAAATAATTGGTGTTTGGTTTGGACAGGGTCAGCCTTCCCTCAGAGTTTCTTAAGTTGTAAGCAGAGTGACGCTGAGAGAAAAGACTTTGTAGATATTTTGGAGCAAGGTCATGCATGGTTTTATACATCATTAAGGCTTTTTGTTTCTTTCGTCGAAGAGATAGCCTCTCCCAGCTGAGGGTGGAGAGAAGGTGGTTTGAGCTCGCATCAAAGGGTGATTTAGTAATAACTCTGGCTGCACGATTCTGTAATTTTTGGAGCTTATCACTCAAGTAACCACTCAAACAGTCCCAGACGGGGCTGCAGTAATCAAAATGAGGCATAATTAAAGCGTTATAAATTTGAATTGCAGTTTCTTTGGATATAAAGGGCCGCACACGTTTTAGGGCGCCTATAGCTGAAGAGACTTTCTTGCAAATCTCTTCAACGTGTTTACCCCAAGAGAGTTGAGCATCTATGGTAAGACCCAAGGATTTGGTATGATCGACTCTCTTGATAATTTGGTCATCAATTTTGATTTCTACATCGTCACATTGGGCAGATAGTCTTTGTCTTGATCCAATAATCATTAGCTCTGTTTTAGCAACATTTAGACTGAGCTTGTTAGCTTTCAGCCAACAGCTAAGGTTATTTAATTCAGGGGTTAGAGCTAGCTTAAGCTCTGTTAACGTCTTAGCAGATAACGTAAGGTTGGTGTCATCGGCAAACATTCTTGGTACGGCGCCCCGCAGGGAGTTGGGAAGATCATTAATGTAAATTAAAAATAGCAAAGGACCCAATATGCTACCCTGCGGCACGCCGCAACTGAGGGTACGAGCAGATGATAGTTTGCCACTGACATTACATCTTTGGGTTCGGCCACTTAAGTACGACGAGAACCATTTTATAGCTGCCTGATCGACACCCAAGTATGACATCTTACGCAAGATGATCTCATGATCAATGGTGTCGAATGCCTTAGTAAGGTCAATAAAGACAACGCCATTTAGAAGGCCATTGTCGATGTTTACTGACCAAGCATTTGTTGCCTCAAGCAAAGCCGTGAGCGTACTATGTAGAGAACGGAACCCTGATTGGCAACCTAGTAGCAATTTATTATCATCTAGATAATGGAAAAGTTGATTATAAACAATTCTTTCAAAAACTTTCGAAATTATAGGGATTACAGATATTGGCCTGTAGTTGTTAGGGTCCGATTTAATGCCCTTTTTAAAAAGTGGAGTCACTTTGGCTGTTTTCCAATCGTTTGGATATATCCCAGTGAGAATAGACTTTGAGAATATTGAGGTAAGAGAGGGTGCGACGATATTAGCAGCCATTTTCAACAATTTACTCGGAATCATATCAAGACCGGTGGCTTTCTTTTCATCAATTTTCGACAAAACGTTAGAAACAATATCAACACTCGGAATTTGCAGAGAAAACGAATGATCAGTGGGCTTTAAATAAGACTCAGGATTAACATCGACAACAGGAATATCTTGTGCTAATACTTGCGCAACGTTTGTAAAGTGATCGTTAATAGTTTCCGCAATGTCCAAAGGGTTACTTGCTATTTTATCATCTACCTTGATCTCCAAAATATTCGTTGACTTACCACTGTTACGTGAAGTTAGCTCGTTGATAACATTCCATGTTTTGCGCAAATTACCTTTGTTGGCTTCCAGGTTGTCAGAAACATAGAGTTTTTTTGCGAGTTTAATTGCGTTATTTGCCTGATTTCTTGCACACCTAAATTGATCCCATATAGCCGGGTTATTGGAGGAGATTGCCTTCTTTTTAAGGAAATCTCGTTTTCGGATTTTGCTCAGTAACTCTCTAGTAATCCATGGAGATCGTTTTTTCCGAATTCTTTTGGATTTAAGTGGTGCGTGTTTATCGACGCAGCCAAGAAACATTTCTTTCCATACATGCCACATTTCATTGGGATCAGAATACAAATCAACATTGGCCCAAGGTAGTTGATTGAGGTCACTTAAGAATTTTCCTCTGTTAAAGTGTTTAAATTGCCGTGTTTCAATCACGCGAGGGCCAATACGGCAGTATTGAGTCTTACGTGACAAAAAAACAAGAGAATGATCACTTATGCCAAGGTGAATGACACCGGAATTTGTAATCTTCTCTGGGGAGTTCGTTATACATAAATCAATTAATGTTTTTGAGTCCTGGGTGACACGTGTTGGTTCAGTGATTAACTGACTAAGACCATATATATCGAAAATGTTTATCAGATGGGAGGAATTAACTGTAATTGCTTCAGGCAACAAATTGCAGTTGATATCACCGAGTAAATATAATTCCTTATTTTCCGCGTCAATTTTAGCAATAACATTCTCAAATTCGCTAAATAAATTGGGTGGAGAACTTGGGGGTCGATACCAAGTACCGACCAGAAATGGTGTACTTCGTGGCTTACTGATTTCAACAAAAAGACACTCTAAAAGATCATTATTTAAATCATTACGTATTCGATAGTTCAGATTAGTGCGTACGTATGTACATACTCCACCTCCATTCCTTCCGTTAATTTTACGATCTTTTCTGACTATTTCAAAGCCAGGTATGTAAACTTCGTCATCACGTACTGTAGAGTCTAATTTTGACTCGTTGATATGTAAAATATCAATTTTTGAAGAGGACATAAAAACTCTAAGTTCGTCAATATGAGACAACAGACTATTAATGTTAAGGGATGCTATGGCTAAACCTCGACCAAAGATTGTGGGACAGCTGGACTTACCGCGGTCGGTACCCTTATGGACATCAGCCGAGTCGGATTCCCAGACGGCAATATCCTAGTCTACACGTAAATGGTTAATGAAGTTTTGAGCTAGGCGAGTGGTGCCTTTCTTGTTTAAATGAAGACCACTTCGATTTAAGTGGCTAGTTATTGAAATGTTAGAGTGGTCAACAAAACCCCAGTTCTTTTGCTTGCAGCATTCCTTAAGAACTTTGTTCACGTCGGGTACTTTACATGCAAGGGCGTCATCATCAGATCTATTGATGAGACCGGATATAGATATCATAGCTGAAGATTCAGAGCTGACTGCTTCGGCTAGGTCAATCAGTTCTACTGCACATTCACGAGGAGTATTGGAGGATCGTGAGACATAAATTGTCTGAAAATCGTTAGGAAATGAGAACGTTTTCTAAGAAAACGTTATTGTGCGCTTTAAACTATGCCATCGAAGTTAGGCGTTAGCTGTTTGGGAAAACGTCCGTGCTGAGAAAGGCTTTATCGTGCTCATGACTTATATCATGTTTTACTTTAGAGTTCAACTTCTGTCACTCATCGCCGTGCAAGAATGGTGGAACATGTACTCCCAACACAAACAGTTTTCATTGTGACTGCAAACAAGGATTTTTTGGCAACACATGTGAAGGTAAAAAATTAGTAGTAGCAGTGACCATGTTACTTGAAAAGCATCTTGTTAATCAATACTTAATAATGCCCTTTAATTTCTCAGCTGTGAGCAGTAATTGCTTCCCGAATCCTTGCAAGAATGATGGTCTGTGTGCTGAAGTGAAAAACAAAGAGGGTTATATGTGCATCTGCAAAGGAGGATATGCCGGACGACATTGTGAAAGTAAGCTTTGTGATTGGCTAAAACATTCGTGATACTTTCACTCGGCTAATCAGTATTTTCCATGCTTAGCCCCGGCTTGTTGTAGTTGACATCCGTTCGGGTTATTTGTTTCTTGCGTCTCCTGCTACTGGTAAGAGTAATGCTTTTCGTTTCCGTGCTTTAACATACAGTATAATAATTATAACAAGTAAGATGTTTAATGTTTAGAAATGGAAATAGAGGACTCTGGGGGAGATTGGATTCAAAAAGAAGCCAAGTGTCGGAACAGAAAAGAACCTTTCGCGCAGCTAAGTGCTCGTCTTTAGAATGGCTATCAATTTTTTTCCTCACTGTTATCCCTTTTTTGCTAGGGAAAGATGCATGCACACCAAACCCTTGTAAACACGCAAGTACCTGCTTGCAAGCTCATAATGATCGAGGGTATCACTGCCTTTGTGCTCCCGGATGGCGCGGATATGTCTGCGAACGTAAGTATTAAGTGATATCATTTCAATTGATTTTTGAGAGCTTACTTTAGAAAAACTTAAAAACAAAAGAATTCATCTGAGAGATTTTGTGGGAAAGTGTAATGAGCTGTTTTTGTAAAAGGTCTTCGCAATTACTCTAACTGCAAGTTATGGCCATAGGGCGTTGCATCCTTGGCCGCACAGCGGAAACGGTTTCTGTCAATTGCCAATCTTCCAACTTCTATTAGGGACATGTTGAAAACATCCCGTATGTCCCTTTTCCATCGCCTTCTCGGTCTTTCTTTCCCAGTTCTTTTTTCCCAACTGTCTTTCCCTCCAAGATGATCTTTTTCAAGCCGTCATTCACTTCTTTTCAAATGGCCAAAATACTTCAGCTTCAGTCTTCGCACTTAGTTGCGGGGAAATACTCTATTTCCAATTTCTTTTTCAATTTATCTTACTCAGGAGCCGATCTCTGCCTTCCCATAAATCCGTGTCTTCATGGTGGAACATGTTACAACGCATTGGATACATACATATGTCACTGCCCGCCACGATACTCAGGAAACAACTGTACAGGTGTGTAAAATAAGATGAAGGTCCAGGAGGTCAAAACAATATAAACATGAAAGAAGATGGTCCTCTCCAAGTTTTCATTTTGACAGCCCCACTTAAGAACATTCATTATAAAAACCCTAATAAGACACCAGGTGAGCTTTCTGGCGAAAACATGATGCCTTCAAAGGTGAAAATAACACGAAATCTAGATCTTCACCCATGAAATGATCACCGTTGCTATTGTAAAAATAAATAAATTGCGCTTTTCGCGGTTAAAAAGTATTAAAGTGAAATAGTTGGATATTTCTTTAGTATTTGTACAATAAATAGATAATATATGATCACTTAGAGATACTTCCAAATTTCCGAGACTTCTTGTTTTGGAAAATATGTCAATCTCCGTGCTGCCCTGTAATATCCTCTAAAATTGTGGTATCTACAACGTTAAATCCGCAGACCACATTAGAAAGAACTCCTTTATCTTTACATCTTCTGCAAGTTAAATTATACTGACATGCCGTTTTCGAATTTTAAAAAAATAGCCGAACAAAATTACCATCATGATTTCAACTGACAGTGTTTTAGAATATGCATAAGTAACATCACTTTTTTTTCCATGATATAGTTGACAAGTGTAATCGTTGTGACATGAACGCAAACTGCATCAGTGGGACTTGTGAATGCAGACAAGGATTTGTGGGAAACGGATTCACCTGTACAGGTAAATACAAAGCTGCAAGTAAGCTCTTGCTTTCTGCGAAAATGTTATCTATAATAACCAAAGGCTTCATTACGTTATATGCAATCTCTTTGTTCATTTTATTTCCAACCCTTTTATTGTCATAAAACGTTTTCTTATAACCATAATTTTAGTTGCCGGAGATCCTTGCCGTCCCAATCCATGTGAAAATGGTGGAACATGTAATCCTGGACACGGTGGAAAGTTATTTGAATGCATGTGCCGAGAGGGATTCAGTGGAGATAAATGCCAAGGTAAATTTACAGCAGACGTACACTATTCTGCTTGACATAATATATTCTCACCTAAACGGACCAGGCTAATGACAAGCACCTTTAATTCCCCTTGTTTTAGCTTGCTATGACATGATACTCCATAAAGAAAAATATACACTGTACCATATAATCCGCTGGTGGCAGTTAGGTGATGGTAACATTACTTTCCACAGATGAGTCTTATACCATTGATAACGGATTATTAAGGTTTGTAAAAAGATCACCCTGTCAATGAGATGCCCGAAAGGGACCTTTGAATTTTACTCCATGAAGCACTGCACGACATTGACACAAACGTAACGGCAAGTAGGGAGAACGCTTATGTACTATCCTTTTTGTTATCCACAGTCTCGAAGAGCGCCTGTACGTCAAGTCCTTGTGTAAATGGAGGGACATGTGTTGATGCAACAAACAATGACGGATCTTTACTAGAGGCCGTGGTGTTTGCGAACCACACACAGTTCATTTGCGTATGTCCTAAAGGATACGCAGGAGTCAAATGTGAGAGTAAGTTACCAAAGCAAATGGCTTGGGTTCACTAGTGCATGCATTTATAACTTACGAGCAAATTTAAAGAGCCTTTGCCTGCTTTAGTAGTGAACGAAACTCGCTTAGTGAGAAGTGCGTAGCGGTAAAACACCGTTGCTTCAGGAGTCTTACAGGAATAAAATGTCTGTCAGACAAATAAGTTATGAGGGGGAGTTACCTAGTACTTGGCTGCCTATATTCTTCGGGAGTGTCCACACTTGTTGGAAACCATAGCCTGGGTACCAGCACAAAATGGTGTTGTGTTCACACTTTAAGTAGCCGACATGTGACTGTGTACATAGTTACTCCGTTACACCCTGTCGGAAGCCACTTGAAAACACGAGCTTGGCAGCGAGTACGAAGCAGTGGACTGCCCCAGAACTAACAAAAACGGTGTGCACGCAAGGAGAAGATGTCCACTTTAGTGCTCGAGGACATTGTACTACATAGTGCCCAAATTCTAGCGAGGATACTTGAAAAAAGGGGTGTTTACATTAGTGCCCAGCGAGTAACGTCCTTGGGCACTGTGCTCGGGCACCACGTGTGAACGCTGCCTTATGTAGTCACCCACGACACGCATAACGGTAGTCATCTTCCCCGATATCCGTAATATATTCGCAATATACCCAGTGTGTAATAACTCACATGTTATTTATTAAAATAGAACTGGTGATGACAAACCCCTGTTCTACTCATCCTTGTCTGAACAATGGAACGTGTTTTGATGAAACAAACAGTGCTGGAATGGACTTGAAACTCGTCAATGCTCTGGACTTCCGGTGTTTCTGCCCGATTGGTTACAGTGGAATTATATGCCAAGGTATGAACAACAGTGGAACCCCGCCATTTCCTGAGACTTGCGTCGTAAAAGCTGTGATACAAATTGTTCTTGAATTTAATAGCACAGTACAGTACAGTACAAAACTAGTCAGCAATAGTCGACTACACAAACAACAAGTGGCTGCGCGATCATCTAGATTTAAGCATGCATGTACACTGGCAGCTATATAACCCCGGTTGCGGTAGCCATGGATGGCTGATTCGTCTTTGCTAGTACTGTCAACGTAGCTCAGCCCTAGTTCACCAAAACAAATCGAGAGAATTATTTAGCTAAGCGTTTATTGTTGATGTTCTTTTGATTGACCTGTGCTATTCTCCTTAAAATAGATCCTTATACAGCTTGTCATTCAAGGCCTTGCCTTCATGGCGGAACATGTCTGGATTCATCAAACACAGCTGATGTGGCATTTAATGCCAACGGATACAAGTGCCTCTGTGTTGAGGGCTTTAGAGGGATTAATTGTGAAGGTGGGCCACTTTAAAAAAAAAACAACTTACTTAAACTTCCAGAAAGGATGATTACAAATCTAAATTTTGCATGCAGATGTTCAAAAGCATATTTTCTTTTGACAACAGAATAAATCTAGTAATACCGACCAATATAAACGTCTCCCGAGTGGCAAATCTTCAAAACAGTGACCAGGGGCGTAGCTAGGGGGGGTCCTGGGGTGCCCGTGATCCCCCCTTGGTAGGCCTTCTTTTGAGCAAACAACCAACAATATTCAGGTGGCGAAAACGCCAAGACAATATCTTGGCCGTAAAAGCCATTGTTGGAAAGCCCACTTTTTTAAAATTTGTTTTCTTGTGAAGTATTTTCGTCAACGGCTTTTGTCTTTAGTTAATATGGGCCTTCATGCCGCGATGATACGACTGAGCCCGCTGATACACGAGGGAGAGCAGCGGTATAAACCACATATAGTCGGCGATCCCCGGATGGTGTCCCTGCTGTGACCCCCCCTTTGAAAAATCCTTGCTACGCCCCTGAGTGACGTTCTTACTGCCCACAAATATCAGATCGCTCTGGTGTAAAAATAAGTTACATGAAAAAGGGATTAAATCAATCAAATGATTCATTCTTGTTTTTATCTCATATCAGTTAATGCAGCAGGTGTTCCAGAAACGCCGAATCCTTCAGTAAATGCCATGGGTAAGAAATATATTTTAATTTGATTTTAAGACGTTACATCTGTCTCGTAGTTTCAAAAATACTAAGTTATGGCTTCCCTTTTTGATATTTAAAGCAGCCACGCAGGGAACATTCAAGCCAGTGGTGGTTTACAAACCGTCGCCCACAGGTGAGTCCGTTTCCCTCGCGGTATGATACAAACCTGTTCTACTACAGAATGGATTAAATGACTAACCAGCCCCCGGTTTTAAGTATGTCAACCTTTACAGTGAAGGCGGAGCAGGGGGGGGGGGGGCTTTAGTCGCCCCTCTCCCCACTTTTCTATAAGAATTTGATTCTTTTTTTAGTATGAGATACGCATGAAGAGTAAAGAAGAAAAAAAGAAAAGGAAAAAGGTCTGGTTTACCACAGATAAACACAGATGAAGTTAGATTACCTGAAGTGCGAGCCGGGGACTGGCAGGAGGGAATCGCACAAGGCATGCGTGTGGTCTTTAGTCGTATCGTTCTCACACACGGAGAGCTTGTATAAAAAGGCAGACCAGTGTACTCTGTCGGCGGAATGTATAGAAGGCTGAGAAATTTATTTCAAGTCTACAAAACCTCCATGACCGCTGTAAACACTAGAAGTACCTGTCATTTTACACTTTATCCAGGTTGAGATTTTTTTAAAGAAATATCTCATGAAGAATGTTGAAAGTAAAATTTCCGAGCCTCCAGATTTAAAAAATTTTGTAGGGAAGGATGCTCCCAGAACCCCCTACAACGCGCCTCCAAAAGAAAAGACGCACCGCCGTCCCTGCGTTAGAAGATTAGGCAATTTGATTAAAGCAGCGATTTCCATTTATTGCTACATTTCTCGGCGAAGGTAAACGTGTTCACGACTTGAGATGATCCCGTCGTAACAGCAGACATACTTGTCCTTGTAACAATGTCCTTGTAATAATAAATGTGGAGGTTTTTGCATCAGTTGTTGGAATTTTTTGCCTCGATTTTTGCCCGAACTAATCAAGCTAATGTACCACCTTTCAGTTCGAGTGATCGATGTCAATCAAGTACCTCGTGGACCAACAACTAACCAAGGTAATTCTTCGTCCTCACATGAACAGTTGTCGACAAGTTAATCACAAACAAGTAAAGCCAGAGCTGTGAAGATTTCAGAAGAGGTCTGAAAAACTCTGTTAAGGAACCAGATTTTTTTCTCGTGGCTTTGTCAACTAGAAATTCGCTAACGCCAAAAATGACCTCCATATTAGTTTTTTTATTTAGGATTGAGTGATTGGTGGATTGATTGATGAATTGATTTATTGTGTTACAGCTTTACCTGTTTTGATGCCTATAACACCTCAAGCCCCAGTTAAAACAGGATTTCAAAGTACTACACCAGAGCCACAGCAAACAAACCTCCTTACCAAGCCTGTGCCACTTCCAGCCCAACCAAACATAGCTGTTGCACCTGTCGGAGGATCGCCTAGTCCCCTCGGTTACCTCGTACCAGCATCATCAGCCTCACTACCATACATAGGCTCTCCAAATATGGCAGCTGCTTCTGCACCAGCTCCCTTCTATGTGGCTCCTGTAACCAAGCCAGCGTCTTCTCAAATGCCGTCCTGGGGTTTAATCCCTTCTGTTCCAGTTGGCTTATCCCCCGGGTTAGTTGCGGCCCCAGCAATTGCAGAGCCACCTGCAATTATCATGCCCCCGGGGCTAAAACCACCGCCAGATAAAAGACCTCCAGTTGTGGCCATCCCTAGAGTACCCCTTAGAAGGGTCCAGATACCAGGACGCCAACAAGGCTTATATCGACAGACAGTAAATAATTATCCACCTGGTTATGCAGAATATTATGGTGGTAATAGAAGACGAACATCGTACAGTTATCAAAATTCACCATACTATAATTCCCCAAGACAGTGGGGTACAGATCGATATTATCCCGCAAGTAGTTATCAAAGAAGTCAGGAAATCAGTAATTCGTACCAAAGAAGATACGGCAGACAAACAGACGATTATGGTCAAGGTAAATACTAGTTGACTTAATCACAATAACGATGATCGACAAATTTATTTTAAATTAGAAATACTGCCATTACCTTTGGTACTTCTAGAGTTGCCTGGGTTAATACCTTTTTTGAATGAAAGACAATCTCTGGACGTTTGGCTTGAAGGAATCTCGAATGAGTAAAAAAGGTGGAAAAAGTAGATTGTTTTCTTTAAAGGCTTCATTGTAACTGTATGTGATATATCGGTGGTTTGAATGGCTAGGAACATATTAAATAATTTCAGTAAAGATTTTCAAAAATTAATTTTAAAACAATATCAAGGCAAAGAAAATTCAACTGAATGATACAATTCTATGAAAATGATACACAACTTTTTGCTGGATTATGAAACAATCCCTTACAATTGGGCCATTAATGAATGTTATTATTGATCATTTTACAGAAGCAGAAACGAAGAAGAAAGGAAGAAGCTGAATGAAACTAGAAGAAACTAGAAGTTGGATCACTTGACCAAAGATTCTAGGAATACAATTTTTGTACTTTTCCAATGAAAAAATGTATATTAAATTATGTACGCTAATAAGATAGATACTTCTAAATACATTTTGAGGCTTGGATCTGTTTAACAAACACCTTTTTTTCGCACCCCGGTAGCATGGAAAGAATTTCTATTTGTATAGACTGATATATATATATATATATATATCAAGACAGATTGAGAGAAAGTACGAAAGTCACACCTTGTAGATGGTAAAAGATTAGAAGAACTATAGATAAATGTGATATGTCCAAGGTGCTTTCTAAAAATCACTAACAGGAAAAAAATCGAAATATGAACATGATAGTGATTTCCACAACAGCGAGAGTTACGACTGAAACCTGATCCTTGTCTCTTTTGGTAACAAGCTTATTGGGAGCTTCCACCCCTTGAAACCTTTTGTAAGAACATTCATTCGATTGCCATTCACCTTCCAATTTAGAAAACGCTCTGTATCACAGTACTTGCTTGCATTTCAAGAAGCTAATCACACTACAGAAATCAGTGCGCAACTCTCGTCATTGTGGACATCCTCGGCACGCTCAGAATTGATGTATGTGATACTAAATGGCTGATGTCCTATTTAAAATTACGCCTCTTATCTAATGAATGGCCCTTAACGCTTTTAATTTTGTATTAGACGCCCCACCTCTAATAAACGCCCCTGTCTGATAGACGTCCGCATGACGAAAGGGAAAAGTGAGCGGAAAAAGATCGGAACAAAACCATTCAATTTATTCAGAAGAGTTTGCAGTGCATCTTGTTCAATGTCAATGTAGGCGGATTCCGACATCGAAGTAGAGCTTTGTATCAATGAACGGACTGGGTGGTCTTCAATTTATATACTGTGGTAATAAATTTGCCAAAAGCATTTTAGTTTTGTGGAGTTTGTCACAGTTATGAGAATAAAATAGTACCTCCTATCTATTAACCGCCTCCGCTTGGGCTCTCAAAATTAAATAGACCGGCGGCCTGGGCGTCTGTACTAAATCTTTTACGCTATTTCACAATCATTGAACGTCAGTCTATAATTTCTTATAGCCTGGGATTTACCTGCTGTCCTCATTATAAACGAGTCCGTGACAGCGGGGTGTTCGAAAGGCAAAAGTTGATTATATTAGTCAAAGCAGAAGGTCGCTGAATAGCAAATCACCCTTTCAAGAAATGTAAATCAAACATAAAGCTGTTCAATAAAACTGTTCCTAGGTTGTATCTCCGTGTATTCATTTCCCGCTTTAGGCTATGTTCACACTAGAACGGCTAGCTTTTCGAGACGACACGAAAATCTTTCTGCTATAGTATGAACACCTATCCGATATGTGACTCTCCACTTTGGAGATCGGCACGGAGCAGCATTCGCGCCGTTACAGAAATCGCGCCAAAATCACCGTTTTTATGTGAGAACAAATTAGCCCTATCCGGCATGGTCTTCATGCCGGCGCAAAAGGTATAGTGTGAAAATAGCCTTGGGATGATTCATAGGTGAGCCCGCGTTCCCTGTAGAAGGGACGGAGACAGTTTTACACTAAAAAAGTCTTCATTTAGTATTTCAATACTATATCAGGCCAATACAATTTTCAGTGAATGGCAAAATGTTAAGTCTTATATCAACCACTTGTCTCTGAAAAGATAAGCGAAAGTTTTCGCTTATTTAGCAGGCTGCGGAATGGCTTGATTTAACTAAGAAAAAAGTTTATTGGTTAATGTTTTGAGCTAATTGTCCACAATAAAGAATAAAAAGTAGCCTGCAACAGACAGTTCAAAAGATATCATTTAGCTCTTTTTGTTTCCCTTACAGATCTTGCGAAAAAATATTTCAAAGTTGCCGTCGTAAACTAAACGGATGATAAGCACGGTCGAACTTAAATTTAGCTTTATTTAAAAACATTGACTGACGAAACAGAGTGATAAGTGACTTATATACCACCAACACAAGCTGATTAATACATTTTACATAAGTGCTCCAGCGATTTTTCAACTTCAAATTTTGAATGATCTCTTATTTATGATCCTCAACAGAGGCTCCTGAAAGCGAGTGACAAGTGAAATTCAAGGTGACCAATTGCGAAACAGTAATGGCTTGTGTACGTAAACACAAAGGCATCACCTTAATAACAAATTCTATTGACCGATTTTCTCCTAGAGAAAAACCGGTCAAAAATGAAGCCGCGATTAAGGCATTTCCTCCTTGGTTGTGCGTTATTTTTAATTCTAGGTGAAATCTCTGCTAGGCCGAGGGAAGAACGATCTCCTAATTTAAGAAAGACGAAGACAAAGACTCAACAATATGGAGACAAAAAGAAACAAACAAAACCATCTTCACGCTACACTTCAAAAGATCAACAACATGGCGTTCGACGTACCAGTAAGCGGTTGAAGAAACCGCCATCGTTTTCACCCATGAAAGATTACAACAAAGAACGCAAAAGACAGTATATAATGCATCCATTGCATCCATTTGTTCATCCATATATGTTTATGCGCCCGCCACCGATGACCCAAAGAACCATTGTGACAACGCGTATTCCACGGCCTCCAATGGCGGTACCATATAATCCGTTTTTTCCTCGCAGTTTCTTCGGTGGAATGCACCATCATGGCTCGCCATTTTCGTATTATGACCCAATGAAAATGTATGGAGATGAAATAGACGAAGATGAGGAAGGTTAGATTATATATTTATTGTTTTCATCTGATTTTTTGGTCGATTTCGCTTGACAAGTTATGAATTGAGTAACCTGCTCAAGGTGACCGTTGAAATTGTTCTAATTCGCTCATCGATAGCCGACAAGTTTCGCCGAGGGAAAGCGATACACAGAAAAGGAAAAAA